TAGCCAAGTTGATAGCCAAGTTGACAAGCAAGATGACCAGCAAGATGATAGCCAAGTTGACAAGCCAGATGATAGCCAAGTTAACAAGCAAGATGATAGCCAAGTTGACAAGCCAGATGATAGCCAAGTTAACAAGCAAGATGATAGCCAAGTTGACAAGCAAGATGATAGCAAAGTTGACAAGCAAGATGATGCCCACCTTTTTCAGTAGGGCCCATGCTTAAAGGACATGAGGGCATTGGATGTATGGGCCAATTTGATATGCATAACACAGCCCTTTCACAGATGTATAAACGCAAGAACGGCATGTAATACTCTGCTTTGACAAATATTCCACTAGAAGACTTTATCAGCCAAAAAAGACAAACCTGCCATGATCAGCACTTCCAACCATGTTCTAGGTGTTCTGCCATTCTACAAATCGGACACACGGTTCAGCATTCTGGGATTGTTCCACTGAAAGAATTGTACTGCTCTCTATCATCAGCAACTTATAAAACGGACAAAGCTTTACGTTTGTGTATGCAACTTCCATTAGTTGCGTTTGCTGCAGGAAAAAAGAAAATGTTGTATGTTGCAGAACATTGCTCAAATTTCAACTACCAGAAGATAATCACTCATCTCAATATCAAACAATCGCAGAAAGTCCATCTTACCAAGAGTGAAATGCAACAGATATGCAGCATGGCATCATCAGAGTCAGACCAGAAGCTCATCAAGTGTGTTGCAATGAAAGCACAAAATTTCAACAGGTTTCAAAGCCGCCGTGAACTTGGCATTCATAACCCACAAAAGCTCATCGAAAACGTGGAAAAGGCTATTACCCAGCAGGAGGAAATAAAAGATGCCCTTTGGAATTTAGCAGCTGTACAGGCCTCTGCGGAAGTGAAGGCATCATTGGAAGATACCGAGGAAGAAAAGGAGCTAACAGATTTACAAGATTCAGACTCGGAATCGGAATATGAACACAGTGACATGATTAATGAGTTTGAATCAGATTCGGAAAGCGACAACCCTGATGATTATGTTGGCGTGGCATCTACAACCACACAGAAAGCCAAGGCTAAAGTTAGGAAGATATCAAGAATACTCCTGAGGCGGACTCAGAGGTCCATTTCCAAGAAAATCGCCAATAAATCACTACTGAAACGTAGATTACCAAAAGCAGTGTCCAGGATACTCTCCAAATATCCAAATATTGGCAGAGTAATGGAGGAATTCGTACATGACAATCTTGTAGGTGCAGACGCATGGAGGAGAACGGGAGTTTACACATTTGATGGAAACCTCAGAAGAGGAAAAAGAGTAACATATCAAAGGATTTGGCTGCATCTACAAGATTACTATGGCACCAAATTCAGCTATGGCTCTGTTGTCCAACTTTGCGTTGCCCACAATAGAAGAAAAATCTCTGCCAGAAGATACAAGGGCGTAGCCCAAATCACTTCACGGAGAGCACGCAAAGGATGGACTATTCGACTCAATCTGGACCACCACTACAGCAACGCCTTTTACAAGGACCTGGACGCTCTACAACTCAAAGATGGCAAGAACAAATTTATTCTTAATCGCGATGATGCTGCAGGGTTCCGCCTTGACACCACATATACACACAAGCAATACAAGAATGTTTCGCTCATCAACCAGCCAGAACTTACAACCCGCACAGACTATGTAAATAAATATAAATCAGTCCTCCAAACGTCAATGCACCTCATCATGGAAACGGATAACACCAGTCAGAAAGTCCTTGGTGTTGTGAAACCTCATCACCTCTTTCCTAAAAATCCTGCCCAACACATGGCTGACTTGTTTATGATGAGTGAGCTGGAAGAGTTCAGAGACGACTTACGCAAGCCAATCGACTGCATTAGAGTAGATGGAGCCACCGATGAAGGGCCACCACATCACGAAGTACAATTTCTGTGGACTGAGTGGAATTTTGTGATGGAGAAACATCGCACTCTTGTAACAGCCCGTTATGCTGGAGGAAGCTACTTGAACAAAGTAGAGCAGATAAACGGCTGTCTTACGAGAGCTCACTACAATATGTTTATTCCCTCGACCATTCATGGATGCAATTTTGGAAATAACGGGATGGATGAAGCAATGTTGGAGAGAAATCTTAGAACAGCTACGGAAGTGTACATTAACCGATGTGATGAAGCACCAGCAGGACAATCTGAAATAAAGCTTGTGGAGGGAAACAGAGGTGACAAGGCCAGGGAGATGCAAGAAAGGAGGCCATCACTGTTGACCTTCCTGAAAGGATCTAAGACAGCGAAAGAACAGCTCAAGAGGGAAAAGCCGGACTTATTCGAACATTTCTCACAGATATGGGACATGCGCAACAGGCACATGCAGCAAGGACTCCCTGCATCCTATATATTTCAGCTGTTGCCATGTTACGAGGCATGTTGTCCCCATCCGATCTGTACAAAAGGAAGGGAAGATCTGCATTGGTTTGACGGTGGCCCAAAGTTATCATTCATTCCACTTCCAGTTTCTGATCCTGGCCAACCATGGGGTGGATCTTGTTCAACTTGTGAGGGAAATTGCAGTGGACATTATCTTCACTTTCCCAACAATATTGGAGGATCACCTTGTCAACCTCCGCGTGATGTCTTTGAGGAGGCATTCAAGACTTTACGGAGACCACATGGAGAAATAGCAGAAGAAGCCATAGCAGACTTGGCAAGACAAAATCTGTTACCAGTGCATGAGGTGCGTATGTGGCTCGAACATCTGGAAAGTTGTAAGCAGAGACAACTAGCTGGTGCTATCAAGGCTCAAGCTACAAGGGCATCCAGGATCAGATGGCCTATCGATGAAGGGGCAAGAAGACCCATCGATGAATGAATATGGTGTTATATAAAATATACAATTACCATTTTGGAAAAAAATAATGGTCTTGTAGATAACATTCAACTCTTCCAGTCTGCAATTTTTTTGCGACCATAACATTTGCATGAACCATGGTCTAAAAGCTTGACAGCTCTTCAATCGATTGCGAAACATAAGTGTTTATCATCATGGATCATTGGACCTTTCTAATTGTGAACACTTAATCATGCACACCAACAACAGAATATTGGCATAAACCATAGTTTATTTTTAAACTATCTTGTTAATTCATGCCAATGAGTTTTCCTTTGATGTCAGAGATGTATTAAAGGGATAAAAGCGTCAGAGGGCATTAACAGGCATGGGGTAACTGTGGCTACATGCTGACCTTTCTTTTGATTGACATGCATGCTTTACTGTATGGAAAAGCGAACATTATTGCGGCATGTTTGACCCTACCATGTATCCTTCAGCTTCGCAGGCATGGACAAAGTGCCATCCAGGTGATATGTGTGCCATAGAGTGTGCATCCAGTACACCCAGCAAACAAAAGGCTACGGGTAGTATTAAAGATAAAGTTGAGTTCTGGTCATGTGATTGCATTGTGAAAGAAACGTTGTGGAATCTATCAGAAAAGGTTGATCATCTAGTATATAAGATTCGTGTGTATTGCAAGGTTCTAGAATCATCAAAATGATAAGAAATTTGGCCAAATCTTGGCAAAGTTACAACCACTGTACACAGAATGATGTATATGGGACTACACGAGCACATGGCGAAAAAAACCTACCCCCTGATTTTTACGATGTTTCATGTCATATTTAGAATATGGAGGCATTTGAAAAGCCATGCTTTTCAGGGAACATGTTTAATCTGATGTTCTTCCACCCTTCCATAATAACAATGATAACGCTCACAAATTATTTTTTACCTCTTCCCAGAACTCAACCTTCTCTTTAAAGTGTACATACATTTTGGTTTGAGCGGCTGAATTCAGGGTTGGTCTGAAATTTATGGTGGCCCTGAGGTCATTTCGCGGCCGAGTCATGAAGTTCGCGATTGGGGTCACCAAATTTGCGATTTGGGTCACCAAATTCGTGACCAATTTCACGATTTTGCCGCAAAGTTGAGGACCTGGGTCGCAAATTTGATGACCCTGGTCGCCAATTTCATGACTTTGGTATATCAAACATGTCAAGGAACGCAAACTTCGCGATTTTGGACGCAAAATTGATGACCCAAATCGTGAAGTTCGCGATTTTGGTCACCAAATTGGCGGCCAGGGTCATCAAATTAATTCTTTTGCTACCCAGGTCGTCAACTTTGCGGCAAAATCGTGAAATTGGTCGCGAATTTGGTGACCCAAATTGCGAAATGACCTTGCATCGAAAGCGTCCTTTAGGGCCACCATAGATATTAGAGAAATTTGAGATCATTAAGTGATTTTGTAAGAAATTTCAAATTTCATTTAGAAGCTGTCGGTTTAGTATTATATGGGCTGTAGCTAATTGACTGGCTATTTAAATTACTTGAGCTACTGGTTTATTTGGAGACTTTGTAGAAAACGAACTACCACTGCCATGAAACAAAAAAACAAAAAACTCGGTTGTGAGCTGAAATTGAAAGACTGATGGATATCAGTTGCAAGAAGCTTAGGACAGAAATCCAACATGTAAGAGGATTTTTTTTTTACAGAACATTTTTATGTTAAGTGGCATTTTGAGACCACGCACAAGCAAATCGATTGACTATATAGATTAAATATGTAGTTTGTTAGAAGTATTTGTGCTTGTTTTGAAATGTTTATCTGAATGCCTGTACTAGGAATTTTCTGTAAAAAATGTATAAATAAGACACACTAAAACTCATGCACAGACAGCTGATTTATTTCATAACTCTGTATATTTGTACATAACATTTTTACATTGTTGTTCTTGTACAGTACATTACCTTTTCACATGCGTTTGTACTGTATTAAAGGGCCTAGTTAACATTGTTTGGGACTAGATTGTGGAAATATTCTAACCTTTACCAGACAAACTGTATATCCCTTTTTTTCGACAGAATTTATCACAAAACAAAATAAATTGAATTTTTAGTTTTACACGTTCTTCAATTAACCACACAAATTGCATGTGTCAAATGTATTACAGTACTGTAATGCATATATTAATACAGTACTTAATTTTCTTTGTATTTTTTTTTTTGGCTTAAATCTTTGTTAGACTTTAGGCATGGAATGGCAATTGAATACAAGGTGTCTCAGAAAAAAAATGTCCCAATGCCCATATCCTCCCTGTAGTATGGCGGGCATTTTTTTCTGGGACACCCTGTTTACAATACCTGTCTAGCTGAAAGTCCTGCAATTTTAAACAATGTTTAATAGATCTTTTAATTTGTCTGTCACATGTGGTAACAGAGGAATGTTTTACGATTGTATGACCATTATACTTCTGTTTTTATTTGTTAAAGGTAAATCTGGAGTAGGCCTACTTGCAGAGTAATATAATTTTGACATAAACTGCTTTGAAACTATAAATAAATGGTTGATCTTACAGTGAATGAAATCCTGGATAACAATCGAGTTGTTGGAACCAGCAAAACAATCGTTATGTAACAACATCTAAAAACAATTAATGATGCTGATAAAATACCAACACAGAAATGCATATGAGGGACAATACATTTGAATTTGTCTGTTAAGAATAAACGTGTGGCATGACATGACATGAAATGAAGGGAAAGAGAGGTAATTGTGTTAATACCATAGTTTCTAGCAGCAATTTATAAGCAATTTAATTATATTCAGGTACTAATCAAATCTAATAACCCTAAGAAGACTGGGGGTGCGGCAGCCCTCCCCCCCCCCCCCCAGACGATTCTCGTGATATAATCAAATGGATAAATTAACACGTACGTATCTTGTTGGTGACCAAATCTCTTACATTAAAACCGCAATCAAACTCATGACACTGCCCTAATTACCCCAAGATTTGTACTGTAATACTTTGTTCTTAAATGGTACTGTAATTTCAGGCCTGCCGATTGGTCAAAGTGCATGACGTGACCACTTGGTAATTGCATTTTCTATCATGCATGCCGCGCAATCAAATCCATGCAGTGATCTGATAGATTGCACGCTTGGAGGAAAGAATTGACATATATACTGTACTGTAATTCCGTTTCTTTTAAGTGTTTAATATCTATGACAATAATGTTGTTCATAATGTTATTCATTCCTGATGTAACTAAACAAACGATGATATTCTGTTTCTAAATAAACCACAACGGTGTTAACATATGTCAAGTATTTCTTGTTTCATTTTAAGAATCTAAAATAAGACAGAATGTTGACTCACGAGATTGGATGTGTTGAGCTGATTGGCGGTTGCGATGAGGGTGTGGAGAGGGTATGACAAAATAATACATGTACATCTGTGTTGCAATTTTTCCTTTGTGTGTGTGCATGCTGGCTGTCCGTGCGTTCCATTAAATTTCAATGGAAATGATGGGCGGATTTGGACATATGTGTTCGTGTGTATTAAAGAATACAGATTTTCACCATCACGTCCTATGGCGAAACAAAAATGACTAAATTACATGATCACTTTTTAATTCTCAGGGATCAATTATTCCCTTGGCCTAAAAAAAAAAGTCAAGACCAAAAGAAATCAAGACAGAAGTCAATAATTTCCTGAAATGTTAAATATAATCATATGTGCCCTGTCACCACAAAAGGGCTTATTAAGTCGTCAGATTGAAAGCCAAGAAAATGTAGAAATAGTTGTTTCAATACAAAGTCTATGGAAGATATGGACCCTTCTATGGGAAGACCAATGTTGTGCATGGTGTTCTGAAAGTATAGCATGTCATATACCCCTCCCCCCCCCCCCCCAATTTCAAATATTTCAAGGACGTACCCCCTATTTCAATGATTTTCCGGGATCATCCCGAACTATATTGCTCTTAAAATTCAACCATTTTCCCCGATCCCGAATTCCTCAGACCATCTCAATTTCTAAAATTTTTGGGAAAGAAAGAAAGACAGCCCGGAGAAAATGCCCCAAACCACCATGCACGCCTCGTACTGTATTTGGTATTTAAATGGGAGCATGCATGCATCAAATCGTAGTTTCCGTCAATATGAATTTGCACAAAAAGCACGCTCGTGCTTTCTTCGCATTCTGGAGAAACTCGTGCATGCCATGCATGCCCCGTGTTATTGCATTTAAACCTGGTCTCGTGCAATACTAGTATAGCGCGTGTTGATCGAACAGTATTTAATAACGTATGTGAGAGACAAGTGGCGATGAACATGTTTTATACACCACATGCACAAAGCTTTATGAAAAACAGAACACAGTAAGACAAGTTTTATTGATCTATTCGTTGACTTGTGTATTTGTTTTCTTTTAATTTTTAGCAAAACTAAAAACATTTTCGGCGAGCGAAGACATGTAGTGAAACTTGCATTTCGCATACTGGTGCCGCGCGCTGGTCGAGCTTCAACTCAAAATCGGTATCTCGTGCGTGCGCTCCTTTTCTTCTTCCCAGTATGTTAGAAATATCATCAAAAACATGACGGTCCTATGACACACCTTCAGACAAGCTTGGAGAAAGTGACGGTCCCATTGACACACCAAATGACGCAACGTGGTAAAGTGACTTACTATGACGCACATATGGGTCAGTATTGTGACGGACATTTTGCGGCCATGACGGTACTGTGCGTCGCGATTTTGGGGAACATGACGCAACCATGACGCACCATCCCCGGGGGTCAAAAGGTGCGTCTTACAAATGACACCTGCATTATTTCAATTCCTGAACAAACTAAAGTGCCACTTAAACCCTTTCTAAGTCAAGATTGGCCGAATTGACCCTTCCCCTAGTTGGAGTTGTTGCAGACCATGTTTGTGATATTTACTGCTTTTTATGACTTTGAAATGAATAATATTGGTATAAGAGAAGAGGCAAAACATGCAAGCCGCCATCTTGGATTATAATGTAGGCACACATTTTTTGTCCAATGAGGACAACCACAAGTCATTGATGTGCCAGAGAACAGATTTTCACCAAAAGGTTTATTAAGAATCAAGATACGGTCAAACCTCTCTATAAAGGCTACCTGCGTATAGTGGCCATGTACTTTGCCTCCATCGAGAAAGAAATATGTGTTTACCTGTCTATAGATTGAGGCCATCTGCCTACAGGGGCAACTTTCACTTTTTCCCTTGAGTTACCTCAATAGACAGTTCTGACTGTACGTTTCAATTACTTCAAATCAAGTCGGGCAAGTACTAGTGTGCACAATTACATTTGCACCTTGTACTATATACAGAACTGGGCCCCGTCTTACAAAGAGTTGATATCAATCGTAACTTATTTGAGATTGATATCAATCGTAACTTTGTACATAAGAGATAGGAGACTGCAAACTTGCGATTGATTGGAGGACTTGTGATTGATTTGGATCAATCGTAACTCTTTGTAAGACAGGTTTTTCACTAAAACGTTTCATGGAAAAAAGTGGGTGACTATACACCATGCATGCATAAAGAAGTGTTCTGATGATTTAAATATAGATTGCAAGGTTACTAGTATGCAAGTGACCATCACAGCTGAGCCTTGTATTTAGCCATCTGCAGCTCATGTTTCATCCTATCGGCCTCCAGCTGCCGGAAGTACTCTGCATCCTCGTCTCGGTAGAGCTGCTCTTGGTATTCTCTGATCTCTTTCTCCATCTTCCTCCTCACGTCTGCCTTGATGCGTTGCATGGCCTGCAAGAACAGGAGATGAGGACAGAGATGGATTAATGTTTGCTATTTCATTAGGGATTTACAAGTAGATTAACAAGCTAATAACAAAATAAGAGCAAGTGAGAAGCTGAAACATCATATAGATATCATGGAAAGACATAAAATGCAATTTTGTGGCTCGAATGTGACGTCACAAATCTTGACGCTCTACAGAGGACCGCTGAAGGCAGAAAATCTGGATCTCAAAATCAACATTTTTGACAGATGATTACTGTGGACCTGAAACATATTTTGAAGAGGGAAGTTGTTATATTTAATCAGTAAGGTTTCCTCTTCGCAATGATATGAATTTTGCATCAATTCAAAACACTTTTGATTCTTTGGGTGACCACTTTAACATAGGTTTCCTGAAGGAGCCTAGAGTAGGGTCAGATATGTGAGGGACCCATAGACATATCATCATTTATAATCTTTACATCTTTCAAGGTGTAGCTGATACCTTTCACTTCATGATACAGTCAAACCTGCTTTAGTGACCACCTGTCTACAAAGACCACATTTTTGTTTCCCTTGAATATGGTTTCTCATTGAAACATGGACTAAAGGAACCTGTCTACAAAGACCACTTTTTGTGTTTCCCTTGGGCAGTCACTGTAGATAGGTTTAACTGTACAAAGAGCATTGTATCAATTGTAATATTTTGCATCGTGACTGTTAACTACATTAAATGTTTTTTGGCTGCACAGCAGTTTATTGAATACATATAGGGTATATCTGGTACTGTGGATGTAATGTGAAGTTATCATAGTACCGGTACCTCTAGGACAACCCACTCGTAACTAGGTGAGAGGGGTTGTCTTGTATGGTGATTATCCTAGGTCAGTACTTCTCTAAGAAGTACAGTTAACAACTGATTTATTCATACCCCTTGTCAATTTGAAGTTTTTTGTGTTTATGATAACTCAAGAATGAAAGGTGAACGGGTTGAATTTGGGCCTTTGTTGAATACTTTTAGATTTAAGCTTTAAAATGTCACATTCTCAAGGAACATAAATCAGGTTATATCAGCTTTTCACTTTAACTTGTAAAAGTACAAAACTTGGTAAGGGTATAAATAATTTAGTAGTCAACTGTACACAAAATTGTCCTAGAATCATCAAGTGTTGAGCATACTCACATTTGCCTGTGCCTTGTCTCTGACGTTGAGGTCATGACGTTCCGTGGCTATCGTCTCGGCAAGCACGTTGAACTGATCTCGGTAGCTAGTAAATGATTTCGTTCAGGAAAGCTTTAATGAATAATGCTGTTTATTTTTCTGTCCACCATGAAAAAAAAAAAAAACTCACCTTCACCACCACCATACCAGCCAAAAAACAACAACAATGGATTCTTATGTAGCATTCATATACACCATGCAGGAAGCTACAGGCTCTTCAATATCACCCAAGTTTCAGATAGGGTGCCAATTCCGAGGTTAATGGTTTTCAAGGAATATCTTCCAACCACACAACATGTGTTCTATACAAGCTTGGAGAGGGGAAATGTAGATTAATTATTGTACTAAAGAACACTTATGCCATGCCATGGTTCATGTACACCACATCTCCAGTAAATAATTTAGATCACTCCACTACAACACCTCTTATGCATAAGTGATTACTGGTACTCATTAGTCCTTACTTCTTAGCATTTCCCTTCATATTTCATAAAATGTCTTTTGGCAAGACATTAATCTACTTTTGCTACACTCCACCCAGGTGAGGTAAATGGGTAAATGGGTACCCAGTAGGAAAAAATTCCTTGAATACTTGAGCGCGTTTTCATGTTAGCTCAGCTAAAGACGGGGTAATAATATGATTACACGGGCCGTCAGGCAGAACAGTATTAATACTGATGAGGGGACCCTGGGTAAACAAGACATATTATTATTATCATTATATCGGAGACACATCCAAAAGACAAAAGACAATGGAATAGGAAATATTATTCAAATATTTTGTAAAGGATACTAGTTCTCTAGAGACTCCACCTCGTTCTGCTGCTGTTTGGTATAGTCCTCTCGTTTCTCCTTGGCATACTCACGAAGCTCTCTAATTCTCATCTTCTGTATGGCCATCCCTTCCTCAAAGAGGTGCTTGAATATCTGTACAATCACAACAGAATTCAATGAAGTGCAGACTTTAGATTAGATCTATCACAATTATTTTTCTATTTTTCTATAGTATTTACATGTATCAAATAAGTATCATCCTTTTATCAATTCCATAGAAACATTGAGTTTTGTTATTAATAACATTCAATGAGAACTTCTTCTCAAGGGAAAGAAGCACTGCTATCCATACTTGATGGCCTTAATGGGTAGATGATCCTTTTACATTCATGGTCACTAAGACAAAACTCAATGTGTCAAACATTTGCATTTTTTATGCCTGTGCTACTATGTAATATATGAGTTGAGAAATAATAACAAAAATTGCAACAACAACAAAAAACAAAAAAATTAATCAATCATGTTTGAACATTGAATCTAACCTGTTCCTCTTTGGTTCTTCTTTTCAACCCTCTGGATCTCGCCCTCACGCGATATTCATCGTAGTATCGTTTAGCCCTGGCATTGACCTGCCTCTGTTCCTTGGCTTTAGTCTGCAGTGCCCTCTCTTGATTGCGCCTCTCTTTGATATCCCGCTGCGTAACATGAAAAGAAATCTCAAACGTATTCATATTTGTGCAAACGTAGGATGATAAAAATACAGAAAAATAAGAAGTGAATATCTCAAAGAAAATGACCCTCGATTACTTTGTGCAAACGGTATATACATGTAATATGAAGGCAAATTTAGATGAAGCCACTTAATGAACAACTAATTGCATTTATGGCAATAACATTGTATCTGAAATAAAATATCATAAACACACAAATCCATCCATTGTTAAGTAGAACACATATAATATGATTCAGGCGCGTACGCAGGATTTTTTCAAGGGGGGGGTTTTAACATTTATAAATCGGGCCGAAAATTTCGCAACGACTCAGCCGACCGCTGAATAAGTGGGGGGGGGGGGGGGGGGTAAGAGGTCACTTTTTATTTTTTTTTTTGGTCTCGAAATTTGAAAATTTGACATTTTGCTCCGTTGAGGGGGGGGTAAGGTCAGCTTTTTTAGGTCAACCATGGGATTTTTTTTTTTTTGGTCTCGAAATTTGAAAATTTGACATTTTGCTCCGTTGAGGGGGGGTAAGGTCAGCTTTTTTAGGTCAACCATGGGATTTTTTTTTTTTTTTTTTTTTTTTTTTTTTTTTTTTTTAAGGGGGGGGGGGGGTTTTAGAGAAATTTAGGGGGGGTTTACACAAAAAAAATTACCAAAGGGGGGGGGGGGTTTAACCCCCCAAACACCCCCACTGTGTACGCGCCTGATATGATTGTATAAGGCACTGGTTTTTTTAACTATGACCAAATACCTAAATGGCCCTTTGAGAGCCTGAAACTTTTCAAAGATAAAGAATTAGAAATCAATTACAATTTTTTCTTGTAGCATGGACCTAGATTGACCTCCCATAGCTTAATGAAAAATTTTCAACATTGCTTTATGTGCATCAGCTATCCCTGAACAGCCAATTGTTTACGGAATTTTGTAACAAAATTGACATACCTTTTTGGTTGGAGCCGAAAAAAATATATACCCACTAACAATATGTTTTTTTTCTATTGATGATTAATGAGCATGGGTGGATCTTAAAGAAAGTTAACAGTAATCTGAATTAACTCCTGTATTTTGATGGAACAGTGCAATTGAAAATGGTGTTTCGGACGTTACATCTTCCGTAAACAATGTAGACCCTCATTTAACCCACTAGAACAATAAATTAATGCGATTGTTTATGGTTTGAATAAGCTTATTAGTTACTCCAAGTCATTAAATTAAAAGAAAATATAATTTAATTGTAGTAGCGCTTATACTAGAAATATACTCAAAATTTTAAAAAGTTGTCTCATTTTCCGTAAACAATTTTGTAACGTCCGAAACAACTTTTAATTTGAAGTAGCAGAAAATATATGAACTGCACGACCTTTTTCTTGTAACATTTGTTAAACATTTCATGGCGGCTACCCACCCCGAAAAAGAAATTTGCAATACATCATTACAATACTATTTTATAGTTAAAACCAATTTTCCGTTAACAGTTGTAACGTCCGAAACAAATGTAACGTCCGAAACAAAAAATACCAAATAAATAATGATAATCCATATTTGAAGGTATCTGGAGTGAATAAATCATTATGAAATATGTTATTATAAGTCTTAACATAAGTCAAGACACAAATCAGGTCTTTCAAATCCAATAATTTTGTGTAAGCTCAAGAAGGGTGTTTCGGACGTTACACTATTTGATTGTTAACACATAGTTTGCAAATTTCAACTAATTATCGATCATATGTGCAAGTAACGGTTTCACAATGCACACTCCTGTTAAAAACACTATTTTGAGAATTTCATTTAGATCTAAATATAAGAATATGAAGAAATATGATGCAAAAAATGAAATTTTCCGTAAAATATCTGAATTTTCTGCAAATTGACTTATAAAACATCAAATATTGAAGCCACACATTGTGATGCAAGGCATGGCTGGCTGCTTTAGTATATCCTTAATTGTAATTTAGCAGAAAAAATCTCAATAAAAGTGACTTATAAAAAATATTCAGCCATTTTAACAGCACTTTCTGGTATGCTGTTAGCACGTTTCGGACGTTACATTAAACTGTTAACAGACCTTTTCATACTTTAACTAGTTCAAATGAGGGGCAAAGATAGATGTGAAAATAGCAAATTTCAATTTTTCAACCTCTCCTCTTGCTATTTACATTGCTGTGTGTTTGCAAATCATCAGGTTTTCATTTTTACAGAGGTTGTTTCAAATTATGTCATATAACCAAAGATTGTATGGTCAATCTAAACTATTTGGTAGGTTACAAAAGCTCAAAATTATCCACTTAAGCAATACACAGTGTACATGTACATGACACGGGTATTGATACAGGTACATAAAGTTGATAAAATCAAGCAAATTAAAATGTTTGTCTAAAAATTTATGGGAAATATGGATTTTCATTTGAAAATACCTTTTAAAAAGGGCACTCAGTACACGTAACTAATCTATGTAGAAAGTACATACATCTATAAAAGAATAAGACATTACATTAATAACTTATTTTATGATCCTAAACATATAGTCAGAGACGGATCCAGGAATTTCTTCCCGGGGGGGGGGGGGGGGGGGGGGGGGGCGGGGGGGGGGGGGCGCAGGGGGGGGGGGGGAGGGGGGTACACACGAGGGGTGAGAGGACATATAAATATTTTGTATTGGTCCCAAAAAATCGCAACGGCTCAGCCAGCCGCTGAATAAAGGGGGGGGGGGGGGGGGGGGGGGGGGGGGGGATTGGTAAGAGCACATTTATTTTTTTTGGTTGTTTTTGCTCCCAAATATTTGAAAATCGCGCTGGCCGCAAATTCGCTCAGTGGGGCGGGTGGGGGAGGAGTGCGGACTAATTTATTTTATTTTTAATTTATGGGGGCCGGGGGGAGGGGGGGGCACGTCCCTGTTTGCCAGTACATTTTGGGCGAACTTGGGGCTGATTTCAACATTTTGTTTTGGCCGGGGGGGGGGGGGGGTACATGCCCCCTAAGCACCCACCCCCCCCCCCTCCTGGATCCACCACTGGTAGTATCTTCCTCAAATGTATGCATACATACAAAATGTATAAGTGTAAAAATACAATAGTGTAAAATATAAATGGGCTGCCCGTTTTTATTTTCCCTCTACGAAATGTCAAAGTTGGGGGTGCGGCGCTGCGGCCTTATCGCCACTAAATACGGTACATGTTTAACCTACACTGTATACTGTTTGTCACCTGTGATATCGGCACAGCAAGAGTTAAGATCTATCAACCAACCAACCAACCAAACCAACCAACCAATCAATCCATCCATTCATCAATCGGTCATCAAGTAAATAAATAAATAAATACTTATTTAAGAGCATAACAAAATGTTGTCGTTTGAAACAGCCTCCTAATACAAATAGTGGTAAAGGATGATTGTTACTACAGTAGTATTATAACCTAAAACATCCACAATATGAAAATACATCTGAAATGTCTCATTCTTGAGATGTACATAAATTAGGATTCACCTATTTCGTATTACTTACAGGACTGGGGGTACTTTTTTATAGTTTTACTTTTAAAAAGATTTTTCAATGTTTTGCTTACATACATGAATGTGTTAGTGATATTATTGAATGACACACTATATAGTTGAAGGACATTAGCAAGCTGATTAAACATCTATTGTAGAGTTTACAGAAATTGATGATCTCATTGAAATGTTAACATTGTGTAACATCCGAAACAAACCATAGCATGCATGTACATTTCACACTGTTGTTCATAACATGCAATAAAGAGTATGTTTCTAAGTGAATTTTCTAAGGAGTTTTGATGTCGACAATTGCTATTAGCTTCATATTTCACTGTTAGATCACATAAGCACTTTTAAATACCGGTACACGTTCTTGAAATGAATAATATACCTTACATAAATTGAGTGGTCGATGAAGACAAACTTGGTATACATGTACGGTATGTGCTAAACTAATTAAAACTGAAGAAAAAAATCCATAAATGTTACAGAAGTATTATTCTGCAAACAATTAATGTAAATGAGGTCAATAATACCTAAAGAAAAGCAATTAACTTGGATAAAGTTATGATGTTAACAGTGTGTAACGTCCGAAACATCAGTGGTGTGACATATGAAAATTATTATGCAATGCACTGGTTCCCAATTTTTTCGCATGTATTTACCTTATATCATCAGTTGTTATAATAAAATAAGTTTGACCTAAGAAAAAGTATTTTACCTATTGAAATTAAAACTTGTTATTGTCAAAACCCAAATTTAGAGCTATTTTTCACTTTCAAGGTATACATAATCTGTATTTTTTAAGATAGAAACTCAAAAATTTGCATGAATAATCTCTGAAACATATTCTTAAAGACCCAACATATTTAAAGGTGTAGTTAATAGCAAATGAGTTTTATATCACAGTTATTAGATATGCTATAGTTCACAATAAAATTGTAAGAACTCATAGTATTCATATCTGGTGAATAAATAAGGAGATAGATTAAGCTCCAAAATTTGCATTTCTCATAAATATGAATAGTCCTGATCCTAAAAATACACGTTTGAAGTAAGCAAACATAATTTCATTTTTGACCCTTTTGTGGACACATTTGGTATATGTTAAAAAAACCAGTGCCATAAACCAGTTTTAGGTAGAAGTCTTACCAGTCTTTGGTTATGGGAAAGTTCTTTCTTCATGATATTGACAAGGATTTCCTGTTTCCTCTCTGCCTCTTCAATCTAGTAATTAAAAAAAATATGAGTACATAATGATAATAGATGTATATAAGAAAAGTGGCTGAAAAGATTGCACAGGTTATGGTTTTAAAAATATTTATAATACTAAGAAACCAAAAACATGGATCATTTTCGGACAACAATGACTACAAATCTGCACACATTTACAATGAAATTAATTTAAGTTTTGATGTTCCTCTCTACAAGGACTGAAGTATTAGTTTCTATCCCAAGCTCAAAACATCCTCTCCAATATCATGCACCAATACATGTACCGTAGCTTTTTTAAACATAACTTTTGCATGCAAGTTGCTCCTTCAAGTTTAATCTTTTCACATCCAGCACACTTACCGGTAATAAGAATATAAAAAAGTAAAATCATTGTTCATGGCCCAGATAATAAAATCATAGTACCGGCTCATCAAAAATACATGAAACATCATGAATAATGAAGCAAGGTCGGCCCAGAGAGAGAGAGAGAGAGAGTCAGAAATTTATGACCTTCTGCACATGGAAACCGATGACCCACTCCCTTTAAGGGTGCTTTTCAATAAGCATAGGTATCACGAGTCTACATTTGGAGCTAGCTGTTCATACCTTGGATTGTGTCTTTGGTTTCTTGTATTTCTGTGAGATGGCTGCCTTGGTGAGATGCTCCATGTGTTTCATCTGCTGAGCCCACATCCTCTGTGCAGTGTGAGGCGAGACGTGGAGGAACGGGAACTCATGCATCAAGGTCGGTAGTAGGTCATCGTCACCAATCCTCACTGTGGAGAGAAAGAGATAGAGAGAGTGTGTGTGTGAGGTGAGACGTGAAGGAACAGGAACTCATGCATCAAGGTCGGTAGAAGGTCATCGTCACCAACCCTAACTGGAAATCAGAAAGGGAGATTATACATAAATCTTTATGAATTCATAGTGTACGGAATCGTATTCGGACACCTACCCCCTGGACATCCACCCCCCGGATAACCACCCCCAGTCAACTACCCCCTAGGACAACTACCCCCTAGGACAACTACCCCCTAGGACAACTACCCCCTAGGACAACTACCCCCTAGGGCAACCACCCTCTGCTCATGGTTTATTTGTCCCAGAGGATGGTTGTCGTAGGGGGTAGTTGTCCGGGGGGTAGTTGTCCGGTGGGTAGATTTCCTAGGGGGGTAGTTGTCCTAGGGGGTAGTTGTCCGAGGGTTGTAGTTGTCCTATGGGGTAGTTGAATGGGGGGTAGTTGTCCGGGGGGTAGTCGTCTTAGAGGGTGGTTGCTCTAGGGGGTAGTTGTCCTAGGGGGTAGTTGAATGGGGGGGGGGGAGGTGTTTATCCAGCGGTGGATGTCCAGGGGGTAGGTGTCCTAGAACCATATGGAATATCATATAAACACAACAGAGAGAGAGAGAGAGAGAGAGATAGAGAGAGAGAAAGATGTACATGAAGGAATGGGAACTCCTGCATCAGGGTCGGTAGCAGCTCATTGTCACCAATCCTCACTGTAAATCAGATACAGATACATGGACACTCACTCAACAACTAAATTATTCATACCCATACCAAGTTTTGTATTTTTTTTGAATATGTATGAAATTGATTTGTACCAATTTATGTTTATTGAGAATGAGACATATTAAATCTTACATCAAACAGTACTCAACGAAGGCCCTAACTCAGCCAGTCCACCTTCATTCTTGAGTTATTGAAAAAACACAAAAACATCTTGGGATTCCACATTCAAAGAGGTATATTTTACTGACTGATAGAAAGAAAGAAAAGGAAGTGTTCCTAGTGTAGTGATGTGCAAAAATGAGATGAACATTTGTAATATCTTAATGAATATCTCTGAATAGCATGGTCCAACAAATCTAATAATGAATGAGAGCTTGTCCACAGAAGATGTGGTATATAGCAGCCTTGGTGAAATGATATTCAGTATCTCAAAACACATATTAGATAAGTGAGTGTGGATATAGGACCATATTTGCAGACAGCTACTTTTTTCATCCCCAATTGGTATTATTTTATATTCATTTACATGGGAAAAAACATGCAATTTTTGTGTCATTTTATTATAATTATTATTTGGCGTCACCTGTGCTTGGGAGGCGAAAAAGCGTACTGAATCACTGTAACCCTTGGGTCTCTCCTCCCGGTATAATTGATTGGGTTAGTGCAGGTGGACCGCTACAAATAGTGCAGTGGGTTCTTCATGTGCAAAGGTGGTGACTCTACTCTACACGGGGCCTTCATTTAATGCCTTATCTGAGGGATGGATAGGACAGATATTGTGAACTTACATGGACGATCTACCCCAAGCATGGAGCGAGTCGGGCTGACAGATGCTGCTCGCTTGCGCTTGGAAGGTGGAGTGCGCTTTGAGGACCTTGAGGATCGTCTGCTGCCCTCTGGAGCTGAGACTGGTGCAGAGTACTTCTTGTCTGGCTTGTATTGCGTGGTCTTGGGCTTACCATGGATGGCTTTGTAGTCTTCATCCTAGGAGAGCAGGAAAGAGAACCGAGGGTCAAAATGGTTAAAGGGGGTGTAGCATGACTGTGGGCCAATCGGGTATATAATACTACAGACGACGTGACCGCAGTGTGTCACGTGCATGCAACATACGCGAAACCGAAGCGTGAGGAGAACTTCGATCTGTTTAGCGAAGCTGACCGTTAATCAAGTCCATTCATTTACGTGCAGTTGTCCAAAAGAAGTACTAGATAGCTTTAACCAGTATTTGTCATGCTACAACCCCTTTAACCCTATTTAGCCCGGGCTATTTGAAAACCGCATAGCCCGGGGGGGGGCTTCTAAGGCCCCCCTCCCCCCCCCCCCCCCATGATCTCGGCGCGTGAACGCCCGATCGCCGCGAAAATTTGCATACACATCAACTGAAGTGTATAAGAATACTATGGTAATTTTAATTTTTTGAAAAATTCACTCATTTGCATATTTATGGTAATTATGCAAAAAAGGTCATAAAATTCACATTTTTGCCCATAAATCAGACATTATTCATATTTAAGCATTCTTTCTCACTACATATATTATTTAGACCATTCGGAATAATAATATAACACAAAAAATTGAAAAAACCAGGGTTATTCCTTATGTAATCTATGGTTTGATAATTTTTCTTATGTATTTCTTTGTTTTTTTAACTTATGTATTTATTGTTTTTGTTGTTTTATTTATTTCAAATTTCAACTATTTTGACCAACCAAAATAAACACCTTAACTATAAACAAGACCAAATAACCAATGTTTTATCTCTTTATTTGAAAAATGAGATTTCCATATGTTTTGTACACAAATCATAAAAATGAGCGATTTTCGGGCTGACATGCAAAGACAAAAGGGCACGTGACTTTATAATGGTAGTTCCGATTTTCGAAAAATTTCTTTCAAAAGATGCGCAAGACTCGAAAAAAAAAAAGTGTCAAAGTTTCAGTGCAAGATTTTCTTGCGTTAAAAATTTATCGCGAAAAATGTAGAGGGGGGGCTTCTAAAGCCCCCCCCCGGGCTATCGTGCCAAGAACACTGTTCTGTGCATGCGCTGGCGTGCCATGCTCACATAATTGGGTTTTGGTGGCTTGCCATGCACACATAAACTCTCACACGCTCGCGTGCCACGGACACATTTTCGTGCATAAGTACACACGCTAATTGAACCTACCCTAAACTAACTTGGCACACAGGAGATTAGTGGCTGGCACAATAGGGATTAGCACTGTGGCACTGGGTGAATTGTATGGGGGCAGCTTAAGAGTTAAGCTTGTTTTCTCCTCCAAGGAACAGGTGTAAACGCTGTCATTTTGACGTGATTAATTTTTCACGCCGAGCTACTCAAAAACATATTCACTGATCCTTAAATTCGCGTTGCACGCAATTCAGTCCGTTCAAAACATGCATAAAAAGTCATGCTTATATTTTTGCGAATTCTAAAATTCGGGCTTGCTGATCTTAGCGCAAAATCCGTGAAAATTAATGTACAACAAATATTTCTACTTTTACAGTATTCTCCTCATATGAACTTCCCACCAAATTTGGTTTCGTTTCTGTTGTATGTCATAAACATTGATGTGAACAATGTGTCAGTATAGGACAGAATAGCAGGATGAAACATGCTTTTATGTCTTACTTTTACATTAATAAAAAATATATACCAGTACACGAATACTTTTCAAGGTAATTGAATAGATGAATTTACCATCATATTAGTATTTTTTCGTTCAATTGAAGTCCACACTATGACTAAATCTGACAAAGCAATATGTAGTTTCTATATCTTTATTGGTGTTCATTTCAACAACAACATTTGGTGAGTAAATTAGTTATTCAGATGTATACTGGGAACCTGTAGCTTTACTAGTCTCACTCACCAGCTGTTTGGTGACCCTCTTGCGGCGAGTGACCTGCTGTTTGACCCCTCTCTTGACCTCATGCAGGCTGCCCGCGTACGTGTGCTGAAGCACGCTCTTCATCTTGGACTGCTGGCTGGCCTCCTCTGCTAGCTTGCGCCGCACCTTACCCAGGAGACCCTTGGCGTCTCGGTTCATGGCTTCCTCAAAGCGCACCTTGAGTGGTTCCCGTCTCTGGGGAAGGGACCTCGGAAGCAGCACACTACGTTGCATGGGTCCTGTAGATGATACACCATATTAAATTTATTTATTATTTATTTCTAATCTTTTGTCAGGGTAGCCCATTATAAGTAGTGGTCTTCCAAGGGGCCCTGAATAAACATGGACATATTTGCATCAAAAAGCATAACGTTTATACAGAATAGTTGAAATAAAGATCCACAGTACATTTAGAAAGATATACACAGCAATAGTAGACGTGGAACAAACGAATACTCATTTGCACAAAAATCATTATATCATCAACCTAGTTCAACTGTAATGCAAGACTCATTGTATTTATAGAATGCTCCTTTACTGATCCCCTTGCATAAAAGTTGATATCAAGTTTTACTACAGATATTATCCAGCATACTTATAAAAGCAAGTAAAGAAAGAAAGAAAAAGAGAAAAGTATCATGCATATAGTAGTCTGAATCTAGACCTCAATATGAACTTAAAGATCTCAGGCTTGCAAAACTGATGACACTAGTCACTTTCTAACATAAACAAGTGGAGGAATGACAGTCCCTTCTACACGACACGCTTTATGTAAACTAGCTTTTACCTTTATAATCCTGTCCCTTCACTTTCTTCACAAGTCCAGTCTTCTGCCTAGCCCTGAGATCGTAAGAATGACCCTCTTCCTCTTCTTCTTCTTCTGAGTCAGTCCTTGACTGATCCACTCTCACTGGTCTGTTATTCCTAGTTAGACGACTGTGATGGCTGTAGGGTAGGTCTGTAATGTCATTTCCTCATCACTCTCTCTGCTGAACCTGAAATGCGAAAGAGAGACAGAAATGGGGAGGAAGAGAGGGAGGAAGAGAGAAATATGGGGTGGGAGAGGAAGGGGAGAGTGCAAAGAGAGAATGAGAAAGAGAGAAATAGAGAGATAGGGGGTGGGCAAGAGCAAAGAATATGAGTTTGACAAACATATCTTTGTATTGGATAATAGCCAGTACAATGAAGAAGCGAGCCTTTTACAAATACTTTTACCAACATGGTCATGCTATTCATACACGCACACTCTGGAAATCCCTGGAAGTATTCTTGCCATATGGTCAATACAATAAATTTAATCACAATGATTTTCAGCATCCTAACTGGGTGGGTAGGCTTGAACCCATGACCTTCATTCTCCAGTCAAGGTTTCAAACCACCTGACCACGACAATTCTTAGTTTGGACTTACCTAAACCTTTGAGATGAATGTTCATCATCAGTATCTTCTGCAGGAAACCTCTGGCTTCGCTCATCCTCAAAGGCGACTCGCCGTCTCCTGGCAACCTTTCTCCTCATGAAACTCTTTTAATTGGAAGGGGGAAAAAAGGTAGAAACCATTAAGGACATCCCTCAACAGCACACAAAATTCAAAACAGCTTTAACAATGTGATTATTTCTTAAAAGGATTCTAAAGAGAAGATTTGTTATAAATTTTAATCTCTTCAAGTGAGTGAAATAGAGATTTAAATATGTAATATCTGTTATAGTGTAGATTTGTTTGGAAGAATGATGTGCAATGACACTCAACCTTTGTAAAACTAAACCAAACTACAATTTAGCATAACATTTTACTTTGTTTAAGATGCGTCAGTACCAAATAGCCTGATTTCTAAACAAGAAAACTTATTCCTACCCTGTCATAAGAGTCCTCCACGTCAGCTCCTAAGGAAGACTCCTCTCTACTTCTGTCTCTTTTCTCTGGGTCTAAACTCCTTCTTGCGCTCCTTCTTAATCTTGAAGCAATCTCTGGAGACTGCGTAATATTGCCACCATCTCTGGTTTCAGATGGTCTCGTTGTCCTGGTGTACGGTGGCAACATGGCAGCGTACCTCTTCTGTTCTGTTGCAGAGGCCACTTCTTGGCGGGTTGGTGAATGGCTGTATCGGCTGGTCGCAGAGGAACTGTGGTGGTGTGGAAGCCTTGCAGGGTATCTCTCCCATTCCGTTGAGGGCGCCACTTCTTGTCCAGTAGGTGCATCTGTGTACCTGCCGGCTGCAGGAGACTTCCGATCCTGTGCTAGTCTTGAAGGGTACGTCGCAGCAACTGCTGCACCAGAAGGTCGTCCAGAAGTCGAAGAACCCTGCACCTCTTTCCTATCTGCTTCATACCTCTGCACCAACTCAACTGGATACCTTGTTCGAACGGATTTTGTAGGAGACCCCCTAACTGGTGGGGAGTGTGCATGATGTCTCCCTCTGCTCTCCAAGTCGGGTTGTGGCAATTTGGCAGGGTACGTTGCCTTCTTGACTTGAGGTGTGAGGGGTTGCCCAGCTGACATTAGTGGTACCCGTTGGCCTTGCCTAGCTGGTGGGGTGAATCTTGGTGATCTGCGCTGGGAAGCTCTTGGCTGCTTAGATGATGATCTGATAGAAACAAGATAAAGAAGACAATGCAATTTACATTGAATTTGACATGAGTATTTACTTGCCTACAAATTGCAAAGCAAATGCTCATATATCCTTTACAGATTACAATGACTGTCAAGATCCTGCTTTAATATAATACATGTACTAAAGTAACCTGTCTACAAAGACCACCTGTCTACAAAGGCCATGTTTTGTGTTTCCCTTGGGCAGTCGCTATAGATAGGTTTGACTTTATCAGGAAAGTTTCATGCAAGGGAAGGTTTCTGTAGTTAATGTATGATATTACACATTTTTCAAAAACCTTATAAGCAGAAATATTTCATTAATTATTGTGGGACAGTTTGATACAATCATCAAAATGGCCAAGGGGCATGTGAATACATATCACACATTTCAGGCTTAATCATAAAAGATTCTTACCCAGACTTATGTCCAGTTCCAGACTCGAGGTTTGTCCCTTGCTGCGGAGTCCTACGTCTCAAGCCCTGTTGTTGCGCAGCTGATGTTGCTGTGGACTGTGGTGTAAGGCGCAAAGACCTGCGTTGAGGTTGCTCCGTTGCAGTTGCTGCGCTGTAGCCTTTGGCGGCTGTGGAATTTGCAGGAATGGCAGTGGTGGTGGCTGGTGTTGCTGTAACAAAGATTAAGGATGAAAGACTCTTTACTTCTTTTGTTCTTTTTAAAGAGGAGGCAATCACTGGAAATATTTAGAAAATGCATCAATCAAGGAAATAAATCTGAATGCAGTTTCCTAATCAAGGAAATAAATCTGAATGCAGTTTCCTAATCAAGGAAATAAATCTAAATGCAGTTTCCTAATCAAGGAAATAAATCTGAATGCAGTTTCCTAATCAAGGAAATAAATCTAAATGCAGTTTCCTAATCAAGGAAATAAATCTGAATGCAGTTTCCTAATCAAGGAAATAAATCTGAATGCAGTTTCCAATTCAAGGAAATAAATCAAAATGCTGTTTCCTAATCAAGGAAATAAATCTAAATGCAGTTTCATAATCAAGGAAATAAATTTGAATGCAGTTTCCTAATCAAGGAAATAAATCTAAATGCAGTTTCCTAATCAAGGAAATAAATCTGAATGCAGTTTCCTAATCAAGGAAATAAATCTGAATGCAGTTTCCTTTACATTTGATTCCTTTCTTAAACTTCAGGCGAATTAATGGCTCTGCCTTAATTATTCATTGTAGTTAATAAATTATGCATACAACTTTTTAAAAGCAAAAATAATGCTTGTAGAAATCCCTTAATAACCACTGCTGAGTTGCGTTGAAACAAATAATAAAAAAGCTTTATGTCTGACACATTTTTTGTCATAAAATGAATAATAATAATAATAATAGTCCCATTTGTCTAGTGCTTAATACTATGTTTCTTATGGCACACAAAGCTAAGTGTTATAATTTTTTTCTCGTTCTCTTTTAGGTCACATGTGAGTATTCTAACCTTTCTGATAACCATTGCTTCCACTCAAACCGGAGAAGTCATCGGTTAGACTCCTTAACAGGCTGTTGTACGGTGACATCTTCTCTGCCATGAAGGCCTTGGTGTGGGCTGGTCGTGAGAGACTGCTCCTAGTGGCTGGTTTGGAGACTGGCGATGGAGATGATACTGTACTGGGTGCCTTGGGCCAGGTGATCGTGGAAAAAGAACCACTCATGGGCTGTAAACAAACAAACAAACAAACAGACAAACAAATATAGAATAAACAAACCAACCAAAACGATGACTGGTTTATCTATTTAACTCTAATCAGACATTGATTTACGAGAGCATGCTTTCTTGCCGATGACACGTACTATCAATATAACATTTTGCAAAGATAATGCATGCACAATTAAAGCACCTCTTTATAATTTTGTGATGACATTTGCTTTTTTCATTAGATTCAAACTATCCGTGGGAGTTTTTATGTCGGTCTCACATATTCATAAATAATCAAATTGAAATGAAAACAAAAAATGAAGGTCAACTTCGTAATTTCAAAAAGACAGTGAAGGACAGGAAGTGAGCTTGCCCCAAAACCACAAACTAAAAATAACTACCAGTAAATAAAATTAATAGGGGTATTTAATCAAGAAATATGAGAATAAAATCAAGATCTTTTTTCAAGACATTGAAGTTTTTAATGATCTTACCTCTTGTCCAGAAATACTAGTATCCTTCATAGTAGTGTCAGTAAGCTGTGAGAGACGTCCCTCTGAGATACCATAGCTGTCAAACATCTTGGACAGCCCTGATCTCTGATAGGTGGAATTCAGTTCTTCATTCTTGTCATGCTTAACAGCTAGAAATCAAAGGAGAGAAATTTATTTTAATTACAATTTGTACATCTTTCCCTGTTTGTAACGTCTTGAAAAATAGGCAATTCAGTTAGCGAACTAGCGATACGTAATACGAGGTAATTTCACTCTCATTGAGATAAATAATAATAGTATTTCGCCTAAATCTATAAAACCTGTTTCCAAGTGGCACAATAATCAGTGTATTTAATATCTTTTGCGCTGTACCCGGATGACAGATCAATATTGTTTTCGTATTGCTCTGTCATCCGGGAACTTCAAATGTCGATACAATATTGCTTGATTATCGAAAATCAACAACACTTTCGTTGTACCCAATGTCCAAAACTGGTGTCCCTTCTGACAACTGAGCATAGTGGTCACATTGAACCACACATAAAATAGCAGCTTTTACCGGTGCAAGATTTGCGTCTGTTAGCGCAGAAGAATTCAACGAAATTCTTCAAAATAAAGACGAAGAAAATATGATTAAATCAACCAAAAAATATGTGCAAACTAGTCTTTTGCGATTACTTACGTGAAAAACAATTGTCTGTGGTGTTTGAAGCACTAAATAAGCTTACACTCGTTGATATTCTGTCAAAGTTTTATGTTGTATGGCTTTGTTTTCGTGTGATACAAGAATATATTGCTCTCGCTATGACAATATATTCTTGTATAATACTCAAAGTATCTCACCTGTATGTTTTCTCCTGTAACTGGCAGACTCCTCCCTAGTTTGATGAGCTCTGCCGTGGAGTTGCTGCCCTCAGATAGCTCCTCCATATCAGGGTGCAGTGAGATGCTACTCGGCAGAGACATACTCCCAAGGGATCTATATCAGAACCAACAAGAAAGTAGGACATTTTTTTGTAATATCTTTACTACTAATAATAATAATATTAGATATTAATATTGCGCACATATCCACCAAGCATGGTGCTCAAGCTGCTCCAACTATTACCCCAGCTCTGCTAGGCAGCCGATTTCGCCGATCACAGCATTTAAGGAATTCCTTCCTACCGGTACCCATTTAACACCTGGGTGGAGAGTGGCAAATGTAGATTTAATATCTTGCCAAAGGACATTAGTGCTGTGGCGAGACTCAAACCGTGGAATTTATGAAAAAAGTCTCAAATACTTGAATTTTTGCTTTTGAATTTTTTTGTTAAAGGCTACAAATGACTCCTTATAAGTTTTAAGTCCAACTTAGAGTTAAGTTCGACTTAGGATGTTTGTGAAACACCCCCTGGCATCCTAGCTCTTAATCAGAATTGGGGTAATGTACCTTGTACTGACAAAAGGAGCCGATGACATCCCTGGTTGGTCCTTGATCCGTCTCCTGGAGGAGGGTCCTTCTGTCTCTGAATGTAAGCTCACTTCTTGGAGGGGCTTGAAGTCTAGAAAAGAAAAAAAGTACAAAAACAAAACACATGATTGATCTACTCCATAGCACTATTTTCCCCGATTCGATTCAATTTCGATTTAATTGTAAAAAGGAGACATGACAAAAAGTCCAAAGACTAAGATTTTTATATATATTTATTATACTTAATAAAAAACAAACATGAACAAAAAATGTATATTGACATTCATTAACAACTAACAAAGATTGAGACATAACCAATTTAAATAAGAATAAGTAAAATAGCAATTATTATAGTAAATTATATTGGATTCATATGTAGATTTTAAAATATGATTGGTACTGAGAATACCAGTTGTAGATTTTGTTTTCAAATAGATATGTGTTAACTAAATAATGTAAATGTATTGCTTATATTGCAATACCGATAAAGGAATTAGGGTGGGGCACAGCGAGAGAGAGCAAGAGAAAGAAAAACTGAGGAAGAATGAGAAGAGTTATATTAGGGCTCCATATTGAATGTTTATGCTTGAGTCTAATTTTCAGGCAAACAGGTAAAACAAGGGGATCTTAATTGGCCCACATATATATTGTGCATCAAAACTCTAAGCATACAATATTTCAAGAACCGTAAAAAAAAAAAACAGATATCAGTTACAAATTATTGAGAAACTCAAGAATCAGTTTACAACTATGCTGCAGATATTGCTGAGAACAAAAAAAGAAACTTAAAAATATTGCTAAGAGAAATTGCAACAACAAAAAAATTCCTCTTACCATCAACTTCACTGGATGTCTCACTGCCAATCTGCTCCATGACGTAATCCACCAGACCCTCCAGAATTTCTAAGAGGTACTGGACGGAGACGGCGTCACGGTCAACGATGGCATGCCCGGTGATGTGGGAAAGATCGCAGTGCAGGACATCCCTGGACAGGCTCTCTATCACGCACTGGACATTGTGAATTTCATCCTCTCTGGTGACTGGACTTTGGATGACGCCTGATAGTTCATGGCACATGAAAATTGTTTGTTCAAATTGTTAATTCTTGGACGAGAGATGAAATCTTAATATCTGTGTCAATCAAACATAGTGTATTTCCAAGAGTGGTAAAAAAAAAATTAAAAAGAAAGCTCGTGCTAGTTTTCCAGCACAAACCCTTGTCAGTGGTAATGCATAACAGAGGGTCTGAGCTAGACTATAAAGAGACTACACTCAATTGGCCATGTACTATACCTCACAGCCAGAGACTGACAGAGTTAGGCTCTGCTAAAGGCTCTATGGAACAGTGATTAAGTGTCAAGTTAGAGATTGTGCATGTAGAGTAAGCTCCAGCCTCCAGGGGACCTACAGTCATAAGTCCTATGTGAAGAACTGTGTACATATAAATGAGTCTCTTCTTCGAGAGCACTAACACGGTGCATTGATTTGGGCAGCGTTTCACGAAAACGTCCCAAATAAAGTTCGTCCACATCGTTTGTATAAAATTCAACACGTGTTTCAGTGGAATGTCTGTGAACATGTACATATGTACATAGTTTGTATGTTCGTAGATATAAAAGGGAAAGATGTTTACCTTTGATTCTATCTCCTAGGATGCCCTCATAGAGAGTGACAAACGATGATGGCTCACATTCTGACAGATTCCTCACAGGAGCGATGTGAAACTTCCGGAAAAGTTCATTGGTGATGGCAACAAAATCTGTTTGAATCAAAGAAACCATGGTAACTGGTTTCATGTGGAATGACCTTTATAGAAAATTACATACATGTATGAGAGTGCTTGACACTGAACTCTCCCCATAAAAGCAAAGAGTGCCTACAAACTTTGATGACGCATTTAAACATTTATCTGTAGGATGGGGGGGGGGGGGGGGAGTGTTTCACAAAGATCCTAAGTTGGACTTAATAATTATGGAAAGCTGTTAGCATATTTGAAAATATTTGTTAAAAGATATTTTAAAAGATATTTTAAAAGGCATAAAATGTTGTTTCCAATCATTCATATTTTCTATTACCAAGGAGATTTCTTGTTCTTGATGTGGAATTTATGAAAAGTCTAAAATACTTGAAGTTTTGCTTTTTAATATATTTAATTTCAAGGCTAAAATGTCTCTCCATAATTTTTAAGTCCAACTTAGAGTTAGGTTTGACCAAGGATATTTGTGAAACATCCCCGGTAACAAGTTTGTAAAGTTAGCTACCTCTTTTTCTTCCTTCCTGTCTCCCCCAACTTTTCTCAGTTAAATACATGTTCCCAAAATCATATTTTATTGTCACAGGTCCTGAGAATGCCAACCCTATCGCCCTGCCTTGCTCATGAAACAACTGTAGGGCCTCATTATATAAGACCATGCAATTGATGGCACATAGTAATCAATGCAATACAAAAATTGCAAAAATCTATTGAACGATCAAATAATGGACAGTCTCTTCACTTTTCTTAGAATAATAACAATTTTCCTAATACTACATGAAGTTGATTCACTCTGTTCTAATACTTTGTCTTTAAAGCTTTGAAAATCTTTGTCCTAAATACTCTTCAATAGAAACATTTGTGTCCTGTCAAACTTGAAATCACTTCCCACTTATGTTTTACCATCTCCCACCTTAAAATCAAAGTGAAATCATCTGTTCCACATGTTCATGCACCAAAACGGTACTGCTTATTATTTTTCTACCACTTAACAAAAACAACATACATGTACACTATTAAAGCAACAACAAAACATACCATCTTTACTGGACCCTGAAGCTGAAGACCGAGGCATTGCTTTAGCAGCATGAATGTCTTGTAACTGAAAATCTGCAAAAGCAAACCACAGACAAAATCAATGAGGGTGGTTCACATAAACGAGGATATCCTCATAAACGCGGACAAATGGCGTTCTAAAAAATAAGGAGCGTCCTAAAAATTAAGGATCGTTGCTCTGCGGGTTTCACGTTCCAGAACCGTGCGCTGGCGATGCGAAAAACGGATTCAGCATAATGAAATTTAATCCCAGTTCATCGTCTTCTTTTATGGGTTGTCCGTCTTCCCGAGGATCTATCGCTCACAACATGAATTTCTCTGTACAAAGTCAATGTAAAATGAATCAAGAAAATCATCGCGGAATCCAACGAGCCGATTGGAAATCAGAAACGTCTGCGAAAATGCGGAAGATCTTTATTATTGCGTAAACATCTCTCCGCGTTTATGAAGATGATCCATATTTTCGTCCCTACTGTTCATATGATTAAAATAACAATAACAATTAAAAATTAAAAAGCACCGGCTTCCTTTCAAAAATTTAATCTAGAATCTATTCTAGGTCTAGTAAAAATTTCTAGATCTAGCAATTAATTATCCTTTTACAATTAGATCTATCATCAATACCACATGCATTGTTATTATAGGAGTGCAATAAGCAGTTGATTATTAGTTATTCAATGTCTAACTCTAAGTTAAATTCTTATTCTAAGAGTCTAATTCAAATCTAAAGTAAAGACAGTCAGTTAGGGCCTACTCTTGTCTTAATTTGAACTAACGCAAGATGAAGTGTGTGGGACCGTTTTTGTTCAAAACGGTTTGATAGTCAGCCTTCGGTAGATGTTTTCAGTTAGAATAACACATTTTATATGAATATAACAATACATAATAGTTACAATGTTATTTGATGATATGTAAATAATGATAAAATAAGTCGATTTATCACGTTACCTTATCCGCGAGCCGCAGAGGAAAATTAACGTCTTTCGAAAACACCGCTTTTTCCAAAAATACGCATAACACAATTAGTCTTTGTTCAAGACACATTACACTTTTATATACCGTACGTTGTTATTGTTGATAGTTTATAGGCGTTTGTCATTCAGTGAATATTTACGCCTCTTCTCTTAGGATTTGTTTTCCTTTAAAATTAGATTGACTTGTACCACAATCTTGTAAATAGTCTCGACATTGGGAAGGAATATAATTATTCAAAATATCAGTACATCATTACTTTGTTAACTTGAAAAATGTTCGACTACAACGTATTTTGCGACAAAAAAAAAATTGAAATTGAAAAGGGGTCCCCCCCCCCCAGGTTTTGGGGGAACGGCAACCCCTTGTGACTTTTATAAACTTCAACAATAGTACTTTTTTTTCTTTATTTGGGTCTTCAAACCGGGCGGGACGGGGTGCATATATTTCGGAACTGGCGCAGGCCTATATAGCTACTGATGGGTGGGTGCCCCCGGCCCCCCCCCCAAAAAAAAATCAAACATTGATTATTTCTCCTTCGATGCCAGTGATTTTCAAATGTTGCTATAATGACATGATTTTCCGGGGGGGGGGGGTTCACTTTTTTGTAAATTATACTTGTGTTTTCTCTCTGCCCCCCCCCCCAAAAAAAAATACAATTAGAAGATTGTGCTCATTACGTCTCTGTATTTCGGCTCCATCGTTTGCCAGAGTATATAG